TATCTTGTACAGGTAGAAATACAATTGAACTACTTCAAAAAAGTCTTAATTTCCTTTAGAGGATGAAATAGAAAACATTTCAAATTTTTTTCTGGACAATTATTTCAAAGGGTATTTAAGATATATTCTCCCTTGAATATTTTTTCTTTATTTTTTTAAATAGTTTTAGGTTTAAAATAAAATTGGGAAGGAAGTACAGAGATTTCTGTACAGTCTCTCCCCCACACATTCAGAGCTTCCCTGATAGATCATCCCCCTCACAAGAATGGTGCATTTTAACCAACAATGAATCTACACTAACACATCATAATCATCCAAAGTCCATGGCTTACCTTAAAGTTCACTCTTAATATATATTCAATGGGTTCGGAAAGATATATAATGACATTTTTCCATCATTGCGATCACTGCCATAAAAATTCTCTCTGCCCTGCTTATTCATCTCTCCCCCAAACACACACCTTGGGCAACCACTAATCTTTTTGTTTCCATAATGTCACCTTTTCCAAAATGTCACATAGTTGGAATCATACAGCATGTAGCCATGACAGATTGGCTTTTTTCACTTAGTAATATACACTTAAGGTTCTCCATGTCTTTTATGCCTTGATAGCTCATTTCTTTTTAGCGCTCAGTAATATCCCACTGTTGGAATGCACCAGCTTATTTATTCAGTCATCTGCATTTTGGTTGCTTTCAAATTTTGGAAATTACAGATAAAAATGCTATAAACATCCATGTGCAGATATTTTTATGGACAAAATTTTCAACTTCTCTGGGTAAATACCAAGGAGCAAGATTACAGGGTCATATAGTAAGTTCAAACAAGAAATCATCACACTGTTTTCCAAGGTGGCTATATTATTAGCATCCCCACCAGTGATTTATGAGAATTCTTGATGCTCCACATCCTCACCAGTATTTGGTGTTGTCAGTGTTCTGGATTTTGGCCATTCTAATAGATGTGTAATAGTATCTCAGTGTTTTTTTCTTTAATTTGCATTTCCCTAATAACACATGATATGAAGCATTTTCCCAGATACTTACTTGCCATTACTACTTTTTGTTGTTGTTGTTGCTAAAGTGTCTGTTAAAGTCTTAGGCCAGTTTTTAATTGGAATACTTGCTTTCTTATTGTGAGTTTTAAGTGCTTTTCATATATTTTGGGCAATAATTCTTTATTGTATGTGTCTTTTGCAAATATTTTCTCCCAGTCTGTGGTTTGTCTTCTCATTCTCTTGACATTGTCAGGGGTCAGGTCAGAGGTTTTGATTTAAATAAGCCCAGCTTATCTATTATTTTTTTCATGAACTGTGCCCTTGTTATTGTCTACAAAAAGTCATTACCATACCCAATGTCATTTAAGTTTTCTCCTGTGTTATATTTTGGTAGCCTTATAGTTTTGCATTTCATATTTCAGTGTGTGATACGTTTTGATTTAACATTTGTGAAGGATGCATGGTATGCAGGTAGATTATTATTGTTATTTTGCATCTGGATGTCCAGTTTCTCCAGTACCACTATTAAGAAAACTGTCTTTGTTCTATTTTACGACCCTTGCTCCTTTGTCAAAGATTAGTTGACTACATGTACATGTATATACTTCTGGGCTCCCTGTTGTGTTCCATTCACCTTTTTATCTGTTTTTTTTTTTCAACAGTACAGTACTGTTTTGATTACTGTGGCTTTATAGTAAATTTTGAAGTCAACTAACATCAGTTCTCCAATTTTGTTCTTGTCTTTCAATATTGTATTGACTCTTCTGGGTCTGAATATTTTTCATAATAATTTCTCACCGTCACTATCTTCCCTGTAAAGTTCTTCACATTTTAAAGTTCTTCTTTTCCTTATTCACTTTCAGGTAAAAGAATAATTGATTTTTAAATATTCTACAGAATCTACCCACGATTCACATTCTAGTTATAAATTAAAATCCATTCTGACAAATAGCTCTGCAAGATCTCATTTCTCCTTGATTTATTTTGAAATGTAGGAGGTTTAATTGATCGACATATTCTACAACACTTTAAGGCTATAATTGTTAACTTTTCATAAGTTAGTGTTCTTTTAAAAACTAAACTTTAAGACACCCCAAAAAAGTATACATGTTGACTAATGTCATGAGAAGCAGCATAATAAAGAGTTTACAGGGAACCCTGGGTGGCGCAGCAGTTTGGCGCCTGCCTTTGGCCCAGGGCGCGATCCTGGAGACCCGGGATCGAATCCCACATTGGGCTCCCGGGGCATGGAGCCTGCTTCTCCCTCTGCCTTGTCTCTGCCTCTTTTCTCTCTCTCTCTCTCTCTGTGTGACTATAATAAATAAATAAAAATTAAAAAAAAAAAGAGTTTACAAAACTGAGACATAAGAATTGTTCCTTACTGTACAACAGTTTCTGGCTGGTATTAGTTTCATATACTAAGTAGCACATGACTGAAGTATGTAAGTACAAACATCATTTATAAGACTATATTACTTTCCAGGACCCCTGTGTTTCAGTCGGTTAAAAGTCCAACCCTTGGTTTTAGCTCAGGTCTTGATCTTGGGTCCTGGGATTGAGGCCCCGTGATGGGCTCTGCACTCAGCATGGAGTCTGCTTGTCCCTCTCCCACTGTTCTCCCTATGTTTTCTCTCTCTCTCAACTAAATAATTAAATTTTTACACACAAAAAAAGGTCTATATTAGTTTCCTGTTGCTTCAGTAACAAATTACCACAAGCCTAGTGGCTTGAAACAACACAAGGAAGTCCAAAATGCGTCTCACTGAGCTAAAATCAAGGTATTGGCAGGATTGTGTTCCTTGTGAGACTTCAAAGAAACTTTACCTCATTGCCTTTTCCCAGCTTCTAAAGGCCCTCCATACTCCTTGGCTCAGGGCCCTTCCTTCATCTTCAAAGCACTTCACTCCAAGCTTTGCCTCTGTCATCCCATCATCTGTCTCTGATTTTGACACCCTTGCCTTCCTTATATCAGGAATCATGATTACAAGGGGTACACCGGATAACTCAGAATGATCTCCCCTTCTCAAAATCCTTAACTTAGTCGCAAATTTAAAGTCTATTTTTTTTTTTGTCAAAATAAGGCAATATATTCATACATTTTGGGAATTCCTATCTTTTTTTGTCTTCACAGTGACCATGGGATATATGTACTTGGAGCTAAAAAAATAAAATCTAGGGAGATTGTTGCACTTTGAAGTTCTTAGTCTGTATGGTCAATCATTAAAGCTATCTTGATGGAGACATAGGGTGAGAAATAGGGGGAATTTCAGCTTCTAAGGTCTGGCAGAGGAGGAAGATCTGATGGAAGACACAGTCAAAAGACTAGAATAGCATGATCTCAAAAGTCAACCAAATTTCTGGTTTTCCAACAGCCCCACGTGAGACACTGGGCAAGGTACTTAACCTTTCCAGTCATGAATTTCCTCATTCACATCTTCTCCACAGAGTTGTTGTGAAGACTTCAATGGTATAATGCTGTAGAGCCTTTAGCTCAGTTCCTCAGTGCCTGCTGTCATGGTCATGGTCATCGTCACCACCTCCACGGTCATCCTTAGGGATAAAGTAGGATGCAGTCTTGGAAGTGTGGTTGCAGCACTCAGATCTCTGGCTTTCTTGTGAGGGGAAGAAATTCTCTTTTGCTGCCCGGGCCCTTTGCCCCCCGTGTCCTTCCTTAGATTATGGGAACTTCTTGTGGGGGAATGATTGGGTATCCTGATTCCAGTTCAGCACCGTACTTATCAGTGACAAAGAGTACGAGAAAACTTGCAATATGAACAAACTCAAAGCTACTTAAATAGCCATGTGGCCAAGTCAAGACTGCTGTGTACACAATAATATAAGGACAAGAGATCTGCTCGATATAATTTTTAAACTTTATCTCCTGTACTTTCCATATGAGTTTCTACTCCAAAAATAATGAGATATAGGGAATGTCCAGCACCAAATAAAAAGATTATGAAGACCACAGAGATGTATTTACCTTCTCTTTTATATGTAACTAATCCATTCAATTGTATGCTTTGAAAGGAGTAAACTGCCTAAAACAATTTATGTCAAAACCAATTTGGATGAAACAACATAAAAACAGAGGCAATTTTTTTCTTTAAAGGTCAGAATGTTTCTGTATTCCTATTCATAAGTATCCTTGATTTGTTGCTAAAAAAACAAAAATTGTTAAATGTAGTGATGTAAGATGGATGTATCTTTCTTATGCAAGAATGATAACAGCAAAGAGGTCAACAAATCAAAGCCCTTGACTCTGAATCAACAGAGGCAAGTTAGCATACATATATACACTTCAATTTTATGCAAAATTATGAAAAAAAGTGCTTTCTACTTTAATTGGATTTTTAAATTAACCAATGACTTTTCTAGCCTGATGTTGTCAAATAATTTGGTCTCTAGAACTCATTACTGGCAAAACTGTAGTGAGGCAGGCAGGCTCTTATACTAGTGAGAGAGTATAGACTGAGGAAAGATTTGTAGAAAACAAATTAACCTTTAAAATGTTAGTACATTTTAAACACTTCTAGGAATCTCTCCTAAGGAAATAATTCATTAAAATTTGGGGGAAAATCTTTATGTAATAATGTTTAAAACTAATATTTTATATATAAAAATACTGGAATAAATGATGATGGTGGAGGTCACACACACACAATTATACAGCCACATGACAAAATTTTATGCACCTGTTGAATGTGTAATGGCATAGAAAAAAATGTCTCAAACAATGTTAAAATGATATAATAGATCACAACTCTGTATGTACAAAATTATTTCAATAGTGCTTGCTTCTCATATGTCTGGGTGGCTCAGTCAGGTGTCAAACTCTTGGTTTCAGCTCAGGTCATGATCTCAGGGTCATAAGATCAAGCCCCACGTTGGGCTCTGTGCTCAGAGAGAGATTCTCTCTCGCTCTCCCTCCCTGTCAGCCCCTCCCCTTCCCTTGTTCATGCTCTCTCTCTCTCTCTCTCAAATAAATAAATAAAATATTTAATAGTGCTCACTTTAGCAACACATAGTAAAATTGGAACAATACAAAGGACATTAGCATAAACTCTGTGCAAGAATCATGTCCAAATTCATGAAGCATTCCAATTTAAAAAAAAAGAAAATTATTTCTACAAATATAGAATAAATATGAAAAATTGCATCAAAATGTAGTATTGGATATCTGATTATTTTCTCCTACATATTTTCTCCTTCATTCTCCTTCTATTTTCTCCTTCATAAGCTTTTTGTCTTTTGCAACTTTTATATGTATCTATCTTTGAATTAGAAAAGAATTAAAATTTAACAATTGTTTCATAATAAAAAAACTGAAAAACACTTACATCTTTATTGAAATGAATAATTAGATATTTTTCTTTTTTTTTTCTTTTGAGACAGAGAGAGAACATAACACACAAGGAGAGAAGGGACAGAGTGTGGGAGAGAGAAAATCTTAAGCATACTCCACGCCTAGTGTGGAGCCCAAAGCAGGGCTCTATCTCAGGATCCTGAGGTCATAACCAGCTGAAATCAAGAGTCAGAAAATTAACCAGCTGAGCCACCCAGCTGCCCCTAATAGCTATTTCTCTAAATTATAATTTTACATTGAGAAGTTTGGGAGGGAGGCAGAGTTTCTGAAAAGCTATTCTGATTCTCTGTGGGACCTTGTCTTTATAAGCACAGTTAACATGTTCTAGAACAAAAAGAATGTATGTCAAAATATTGTGCCAAGGACAAGTAGTAAAAGTTAAGAACAGAAAAGTAGAATTAAGAGATATTCTAAGAGTTATACTTTCAGTAATGAATACCTCAGTGTTCTCTTTTGTAAGATTAGAGATTTTGACTGATTGACCTCTGTGTTCTTTCAGTACCAACAGATTATGCTTTTATAATTTTCTCTCCAAAAATAATAATTTGTATCCAAATTTACCTTTGTACAAATATATCTCCCTTGATTTATTGCTGGGGAAGATGTAAAATTTATATAATATATATATATATGTATATATATATATAAAATGATGATCTAAGGAACTAATGGATGGATAATATATATATACAGGATATATATATCCTAATGGATTATATATATATATATATATATATATATATTATATATATATATATATATTCTCTCTATCCCATAACCTTTTGCCCTGCCATCCACAGTTTGCTTGCAGATTTCTTGTTCTCAGCTTTCACAAGTTCTCAGTTTTATGGAAAGTGGAATTATTCTTTACAAATCACTTGTTTAGGCTTTGAAAACTTATCCTCTTGACTTCAAACCACATAATCTTATTCTTGCTGTTTTATTTTGTTTTGTTTTCTTTTAGACACTGGAGCATGTTTCCCTCCTTGTTTAAATTGCTTTGCATTTGGGTCATTAATTGGTGAATGTTGAGGGCTCAACATATGCTTCCCATAAAGTTGCCAGCTTCCTCCGGTGTTGTATGACAGCCTTCTTGAAAGTTGAAGGACAAGGTGCTTGCATTTCATCTAAAAAAAAAAAAAAGACATAATCTGAACTAATGTAAATTTATAGTAGCCAAGATTACATTATAATAGAGAAGTCTGCAATGGTGGATGTAGGAAGAGTCATAAAGGACAAGTTGCAAGGGTGAAATATATTAATGTCGGTAACAGGATGTGAGAGCACACCATGAATACATCTGGGAAGCTTCAGAAGCAAGGGAGGGAAACCATCAGGAAACAGAGGCTGGTTAAATATCACATTGCTCTCAATAGGCAAATCAGATTAAAAACAATCTTGAAGTTTTGAGTAAAGTAAATAAAATCACACTCTATAAAGCAAGAAGTGATTTTGTAACTGAGAGAAGCTTCCTGTAACTGCAAGTTTTATGTGAGGGCCCTCAATACTCTTTAGACAATTTTTTTTTCTGGACTTTTTATTAAGGTCTTTTTGGTTTTTGTTTTGTTTTGTTTTGTTTGTTTTGTTTTTTGTTTGTTGTTGTTGCTGTTGTTGTAGTAAGCACATGAACCCCAAAGATAGGATTCACAGGGAAGGTTGCAAACAGAAGCGATATTTTTTGTTTTGTTTTGTTTTGGGGGGTTTATTTATTTATTTATTCATGAGAGCCTCAGAGAGAGGGGCAGAGATATACACAGAGAGAGAAGCAGGCTTCATGTAGGGATCTCAATGTGGGACTTGATTCTAGGACTCCAGGGTCATGCCCTGGGGCTAAGGCAGACGCTCAACCACTGAGCCACCCAGGCATCCCAGAAGAGAGGTTTAAAATAAAAGTTACATATACTTAAAAATGAAGTGCCTTTACCTCCTTTCCTTGTTTCTATTAAAACAAAATTTTTCAATGAAAGAATGAAAGCTTGGAAGAGAAAGAAAATAGAACTGCATATGGGCAGGAAGAGATAAATCAAAGATGAAAAGTTAAAGAAGACATCAGGATAAAGAGATGGATATTCCATAGTAAAAGAAGAAATCTGAGGGCTCATCTGGGAAATAATAAAGGGTCCCTGACTACACATAATAATGTTGCTGATTTTTTTCTACTAAATCCAAGAGAGTAGTAGCATAAATATCTATAAAAATAATTTCCATTGCCTAATTTGTTCAAAAACTTTCCAAAGAAAGAGAAACAATTTATAGAGTTTGAATATAAGACATAATGAGCTTTTGCAATATATTTATGTTTTTGTGTTGATGAAGATGATGAAGATATAGTCTTGCAACCCTGTATTAACATACACTACACATATAGGAAGAGTTAAGAACTACACTTTCTGATGACATCATACAGGATGTTTGTTCAATTTAACAGTTATACTTGAGTAAATTTCAAAGCAAATTAATGATATCACATTTTTAAGCATCATGCAGGAACAATGGTCACTGATAATAATCAAGTGCAAATACAAAATTAACAAATATTCTCCAATGAGGTCAGAAGAATCCACTATTGCATTTGGAAATTAAAATATAATGGGCTTGCCAGTCATAAAGTTCTAGGTTTGGTGAGGAGAGAAAAGTTCTCTTACTAATGAGTTATATGATTTCACAATGGAATATCAGGCAGTAGCTCGGATATGTGGCTAGGCATAGATAAATACAATTTCCACATTTTTCTTGAGTAACTTGCAAAACTTTCAAAATAGTTGATATTGGCTTTTAGGTGAAAGGCCATTTTATTGATAGATGGTCTGATAATACTGGCAATTAAAATATTTGGGAACTACATAAAAATCCTTTACAAACATCTTTTGGCAACACAAACTACCTTACATATAGCTCTCAAAAATGAAAATGTTCCAATCCAAGAGGAAGATAATTTAAAAAGTCTGGAATACTGAGAAAATGTAAGTTACTGTAACTTTCTTTGTTTTAAAAGATTTTATTTATTTATTCATGAGGACACAGAGAGAGAGGCAGAGACACAGGCAGAGGGAGAAGCAGGCTCCATGCAGGGAGCCCGACGTGGGACTCGATCCCAGGCCTCCAGGATCATGCCCTGAGCTGATGGCAGACTCTCAACCACTGAGCCACCCAGGAGTCCCAATAAATTACTGTAATTTTCAATCTCGAGTTCCTACTAAGAGATTTATGTAATATAAAGCTTTTTAGGTTCTTTCTTTAATTATAACAATTATGTATCAGTCACATCATTTTATTTGTGATTTGGCAATACATGCTACTTTTATTTGCCATGTTATGGCTTTACAAATTTCTTGCAAAATTTTATATCATTTACTAGAGAAAGTGAATCATGGTGTGGAGTAAAGATACCCAATTCATTTGTTAATGAATGAATGAATGGTGAATACATTCATTTTAAAAAATCAAGGAAGAAAAGAAAAGAGGAAGAAAGAAACAGAGAAATGGAGGAAGGAAGAAAGGGATGGGGAAAGGAAGTAAGGAAGGGAGGAAGAGAAAAGAAGAATTGAAGATAGGTAAATAGAAAGGACAATAAAGAGCAAAGACTGAAGATTCCTGAAGAAGAATTTCTCCTTAAGACTGCAACATTACCTAAATGTCCAGCTTTCTGGCCTGCCCAGATTTTGGATTGTCAGAACCCATATCACATAAGTCAGTTCCTTAAAACAAATCTTTGTCTCTGCATATATAAGTGATAATAGATGATAGATAGATATAGAGGTAAGAAAAAAGAAGAGATGACAAATAGATAGATATGAATAAATAGAAATAAAAAGAAAGAAGAAAGATTATAGATCAATTGATTTCCCATTGATTCTATTATTCTTGAGATCTTGACAATACATATTTTATATTTAAAGTAATAATTTAATAGTTTCCATTGAACTGCATATTATAAACTCAAAACCAAACAAGGTTGTTCTGATAACATTGGCCTTTTAATCCTGTTTTAGTGGGTTATACAGATGAACTCCCACCAACAAAATGTTTATTTCTAGGGATCTTCAGGTACCATAAAACTATAAGGATTGTGTGGGTAGAAAGAATGATCAAGTCAATCAGCTATAAGTAGGAAAAAATCAGAAAAACATAGGAAAATAAAGAAGAATATCTTTTTATTATAAGTAATCAAATTAGTTTCCTCCTTTGTAGCTAACAATCTCGGAGATCTTTGTAAAGAAGGATCTGTTTTAAAATAAGAACTATGGATAAGGTTAGCACCCTTTCAAAATTATCTTGTCTAAGAAAGAAATTTCTTTTATTAGTGTAATTATACCTAGCGAAAAAAGTCGTCTTAATTCCTTAATATTACATCATTGTAATCCTACAAGAGCCTTATAAGTCCTAAAATCTCTCATGAATTTTCCACACCAGTAATTTTTAATATTGGCAATGGCATGTTCCTCATCATAAATTCCCCTGTAGATTAGCTAAAATATTAGAAAATTATTCTTATGTTTATATCAGAAACAATATAATGGTAATTTGCACATTAAGTGAAAAGTTTGTGTATAGGCATTTAAGGTTCCCGGAAGTCTCATCCTGAAGATCACTGAACTCTTCTATAACCACTAAATGAGCAATGTTCAAATATTTATAGCTATAATCCTAACTTCAGTACCCCAAACAATAGAAAACTAGACTAATCTAAACTCACAGGACTGCCACGGTCTAGTATGGGAAGGATTTTGAATTGGAAGAATGA